GGGCACCTCTTCCGCGTCCGGCCGCACGCCGAATACGCCTCGCACTTTGTGGGCTTTGCTGACTTTGCGCTCGACGACGACGTGGCTGGCGGCAAGATGAACCGCGCGTGCCCCGCCAAGAGCCTCGCGCTGGCGATGGGGAAGGCTTTCTTCACGGCGTGGGAGCAGGAGGAGTGGTGCACCAAGGACAGCCCCGGCTACACCGAGGCGACGCCCTTTGTCGATCCGTTCACCCTCGTCCGCGGCGTCGTCGAGGGGCGCCGCTGCTCGCCCCGCTGGCCATGGGAGGAGTCCGAGTGCTGCCGCGGCACGTGCCGCCCCGAAATCATTATCCAAGGCCTCCCCTACGTGGAGTGGGCGTGCCGCGCGTGATGCGCTCGGGGCACCAACATTGCGGTTTGCCTGCACGCGCTGGCTCCGTCTGAACGATGCGCGCGCAGACTCTGTCCACTACAGCCGCAGCTCTGTCATGACGTACGTTATTGCATGCCACTTGCCCATACGCAGCCCAGTACCGTGTTGCTTAGCTTGGTCGCTGCTCGCCGTAACGAGAGTGAGCGTCTCTGCCCGGTTCCTGTCTGTTGGGAGAGAGTAGAGATTTTGGCTAGTTCCATTTCACTCTGACACGCTAATCTTGAAAACGTCCAACGGAGCTCCGTGTTGCTCCCAGCGCCCTCCCCCGCGCTTCCTGCGGCCCTGGCCGATGGTACTAGCATGGGAGGTCATCTGGCTACCGCGAGCGCGACTCAACTCGCCGACGTCGTCCGATGATTGTGCCTCAAAGTCAGCCTCCGGAGGCTATCGTGGGGTCGAGCCGGCAGTAGCCGTGACATGTGGTTCCACCACCCCTCGTATGCTTTGCCTCTGACCGCCACCGTTCCCAGGCTGCCAAATGGGATGGAAAGGAAGGCTCGGCGAGCGTATAGAAGCGTGCTCGACCTCGTCGTGGCAACCTGCACGGCAGCGCTGGTAGGCGCGATGAGCGTCGTGCCACCTGACCCGAGACGGGTCGCAGGCGTCGTACCGAGCGCGTCGAGACCGTGTCCTGATGTGATCTGCACGGGTGAGTCACGTCGGCGTCAAAGGAGCGACGTGCGACCTGTCAGAGCTTGATCTCCGATCTCAGCGGCGTCGAGTCGTCTCCGGCGCGCGACAAAGGTACATCCCCAGGACGCGCAGAGGCAGCTGCGATCGGGGATAGTGCACGGATAGGTCGCTCGTCGCTCGTTTGACGCCGACGTG